TATTGAGTAGTGATTAGTTCCCGTGGGTCTGGAAGACGATGGCTTTATCTTAGAGCCCAGTGCCGCCTTGAGGAGGTTCAGGATCTGCTAGCTAGCTTTGTCACTCTGTACACTCATTTTCTGGTCTATAAAGTAGTGTCAATAATGACCCTTGCTTTGCATGGCTGATGTGAGAAGTACTTGTGCTGGGTACTATTGTTCAAAGTTGGATCCACTTCATTATCAGTATGTGCTCTTAATTGTTAAACTATCTTTCCAGCCCAGCTCATACTCTGTTTCTTCAAGTTCAACTTCATCTATATTTCACAGGAGTTACCATACAATATTTATCTTTCTGTGTCTGACTTATGTCTCTTAACATATTGTACTCAGAGTTCATTTACTTAGTCACACCTGAAAATACTTTCTTTTTAGAAGTCAAATACTATTTCTTTATATATCAATTTCTTTATTCATTTATCCATCAAAGGACACTTAGGCTTTTTCTAACTTTTGGTGACTGTGAATCCGACCTCATCCAACCTCAATGAATATGGCGAATATAGATGTTTCTTGAAGACACTAGTTTCATTTCCTTTGGATGTAAATCTGGGAACAGTTTTGCTAGCTTGAATGTTGGCTCCCTTGTTAGTATTTTTGGCACTTCCATATTGTTTGCCATAATGGCTATATCATTTTATTTCCCCACTGAAAGTATTCAAGAGGTGCCTTCTCTCCATGTCTTTACCAACACATATTTGTAGTATCTATCCCAATAGGTGTAATAGGAGATTCTTCATGCCTTTGACTTGAACTTCCTGATGGTTTTATTGGCATTGAGCACACTTTAATTTTCCATATGAATTTCATCTTTAGAACCATGTCTGCTAATGTCTTTGAAAGTATTTAAATTGGGTTGTTTGTGTTGAGTTGTATCTTTATCAGGTATGTGGCTTATAGATGTTTTCTCCTGTTCTGTAGGTTATAGTTTCCTTTTGTTGATTTACTTGCTATACAAACATAGGTTAGTTTTATGTAGTCCCACATATTTAGTACAAATATAAGAAAAATCCTGAAATTTATAGGAAATCTGAAAAGACCCTAAACAACAAATTTAACCCAGAAATAAACACACCACCACCACCACCACCACCACCACCACAGTTCCTGATTTCCGAATATATTATGAAGCTACAGAAATCAAAATAGTATAGTACTGACTAAAAGCAGATGACAATCAATGCTTCACAAAGCAGCTACACATATATAGCTGACTAATCTTTACATCAGAACCAAGAGTATACAGTGAGAATCATTTCTTGACTCGATGGTACTAGGAAAACTGGATAGTCAAATGCTAAAGAATTAAATTGGAACTTTTTCATGTATAAGAAGCTCAAAATATATTTAAAAACTTATATATAAAACCCGGGATTGTAAAAATCTAGGAAAAGATATAGAGAAAAAACTCTTAGATAATGTTCGGTCTGTGGTATTATTTTTATTTGACAAGAAAAGCACAGGCAACCAACACATTCTGGTGGGGGGAAACCCATCTTAATACTAGCTTTGTGCATGCCTAGAATGGAGCAGTGGATGCAATAAAACATGCTTAACATTTTTTCTTAAAATAAGCTTATGTATAACATACTGCCTTGTGATTCACAGTATTCAGGTGTGGAGACTGAGGCAGTGTGATGTGAATAGGCAGAAAAATATAGTCTAGAGACCATCTAGGGTATTCTCTAAACAGGCCCTATGGGTATCACTTGCACAGAACAGTGGCTCTAAGAAAGGCCTTCCTAACAACTATGAGAACTATTTTTACATGAATAATTGTGCCTGTATTGATGTCAATGACCAGAATAACTAGGTTTTTTAAAGATTAGGGCTGATCTGTTTTCTTCCCCCCCTCTCTCTCCTTCCCTGCCTCCCCTCCTTCCCTCCTTCTTTTTAAAACATGAAAAAAGCCATAACATGGACAGATTGATGATGCATACAGTGTTTGTTTTATTCTTGTAATCATCTAATCTTTCAGATGGAACTCAGGGAAAATGCTCAACAGTGGGATGTAAGAGGCTAGCCACGCTGTTCTCAAGGTCCTTCTCTCTGCCTGACCTCTGTACCCTCTTCATGAAATGGTTGGATAAGACGTCCTTATGACTTTAGAAAAACAAGGTTGGAAGCTTTGCAAGGCTGGATGGTCAGCTTACTAGCCATCTGATTTGGGGGAAATCACTTAACCTTTTTGTACTTTTGCTTTTGACCTCAAGGGCTACAGTGAAGTGCAATAATGAATGCTAAAGTGCTTTGGGAACTACAGGAAGTATTTGAACACACAGCTCTGTCCTAAAGTGTATTTGTATAGGATAAAACGATGTTATTTGTTGCCCATGTTTCTACTCTTGTCTGCAGGAGAAGCAATACCCTGTCATGTGTCATCTGCTCTTCTGAAATCCTACTGTGTTTAGAGTAGAGGAACATTTTCTTTTTTAATTTACATTTAAAATTTTAGAATACCATATGTGAATACTGTTTTTACATAATTTTCCCCCTCTCTCCCCCTCTAACTCTTTCCCATGCTCTCCCCACTCTCTCTCAAATTACTTACCTCTTCTTTAATTATCTTTATAATATAACCTATTCATATACATGTATACATATATATCCATTTATTATATGCTGTGTTTAAGGCTGACCACTTAGGATTGAATTACTTATCAAGGGTCTTGTTTCTGGAGAAGACTGACTTCCCCTCTCTCAGTAGTCTGTAGCTCCTCATGCCTCAATGGAGGACCATTTTCTAATGGTCTATGTCTATAGCCCTAGTGGAAAGGTTTTTGGCTTTCTCGAGACAAATGCTTCCATCTTTTCTTGCTGCTTTGTGTTCTTTGCTGTTAGATAGCCATAACTTCCTATGAGGGTCTAGACCTGAGGATGGATGGTTGTCTCTTTCATTGTCTTGATGGGACTGCCCATATTATACATTGGGCCATATTGTAAGCAGTCAGAAAAAGGGAAAAAGTATTAACCTTCTAGCTTCAACCATGGGCTTTATTTCTGTTTATTAAAGTAACCATAACTTTGACAATTAGTTACTTGGCAATTTTTTTTCCTTTTATGAACAGCTTGGTTGGTAATGATTTCTAAAGATGAGAGGAGGTGAATTTTAAAACTTAAGAAACAAATTCTACCTCAATTCACCACTGTTATCATCCTTGAAGTTTCATGAGAAGCTGCATGCTGTGAATGACAAAGGCCCAGGTTCTCAATTTTGAAAGACCTAGATTGAGCTATAGCTTAAGTACTCTGTCACTTGGAAATATGGCTTAACCATTTTGGCCTGAGTTTCTCCACCATGTAAAGGGAAGCAGAGTTGTATCTACCAAAAGAGTTATTATGTAGGCTCTGTGGAATTGTGTATTTAAAGCATCTGCTGTTCTGGGTGCTCACAGGAAATGAGCAATAAATACTCTTCAAACCTTTTTACTTAGTTCTCTGCATTAAAAATTAACAATCAATATCCATGCAGTGCATTTTTCCTCAATACAACTTAATCCAATTAAAGGCAGATTCCTTTGAAAGCAGGCCACTAAGTTACATGTAGAGCACACAAATACACATAAATCTGCATATGTACATATATGGTCTTGTATCCCAGGCTGGCCTCAAACTCACTGTGCTACCTTGAATTCCTGATTATGGTACTTCTACCTGCTGACTGTTAGAGTTACAATCATGTACCACCATGACCAGCACAAGCTAAATTTTTAATATTATATTTTCTTTACAAATGTTGGCCATCTCTACATGTTTATTTTCCACTGTTTTTCATTCCATATATTTGTATTCCTTCTTGTGGGTATATGGTGCTTGTTCATACCTCTGTTACCATGTTAAGACATTTCTCTTGTTTGGGAAACACTTCTGTTTTCCTTGCATTCCCCTTCTCCAAATTTCCAGGAAGTCTTCCAGCATCTTCACTTGTATTACATACTGGCTTGTTCAGTCTTTAACAGTTTTTGACAACTGCAAACTTGTTTGTTTGCTTCATGATTATAGAAAAGTTTAATGCTCCTTTGCTCATGTTTTATGAAACAGTGTAGAGGATGGGAATCAGCCTGGACTTTTGGAGTAGAAAATGGAACTTCTTTTAACAACTCACTAGTAGCAACTAGAGCATAGCCATGCTTCCTTTAGACTATATCAGGCCTAATCTCTCCATGAACTACTATGCTGGGTCTTAAAGATAAACTCACTTCTTTTGTTCTGACTAGTTTGAGAAACACTTGTCAAACCCTAACTCTATAATCCAAGACCTTTAATTATTAAAAAATATATTCTTTGTGTATGAACAAACTTCATTTAGTCAAATTAATTTTTATTGAATAAGGAATCCTAGCTAGGAGGAAAGATTAAAAACTAAGACCATGAAAGATAGCATCAACACATCCTGTCCAGGTCTTTCTGGTTGAGTTATGGTATTTGCAGAAATGTGAACATTTATGATTTGGTCTAATGACAAATCCCATGCATATAAGAAGAAGGGAATAGTAACAAGTGTGTCCAAGAACAGTAAGACAATTCATTTGTGTTATGGATATGTTTGAACAGCCTAAAGGACTTTCCATAAACGAGAAACTATAATGTGCAACAAGACAAATTCTGTATTGCTCATCTTACTTCAAAATCAAGTTTGTGCTTACCTTCTCCAAAGTGCTCTGAAAATGTGGGCTATTACATTTCATGCTCGTTGACCTGTATATAGAAGCCCAAGGTTCTTTGTAGATTGGAGCTCTAGCATTGCATTTGTAAGTTAGAGCTGTGTCTCCACTTTACCTACTATAAGGTCAAAGTCATCTGCAAATCCATAGATTTTCTGTGTAATTGGGACTAGATGAAATTGGAAAATGGGAATAAATGGAAACTATCTGGGCTAAAATTTCTTATTGAAAAGTGTCAGAGACTAGACAAAATGTTAGAAATATGATCAAAGATCAGTGTGATTCCTGTCTTCATAGACTCAAAAATTCAAAGCTGAAGAAACATAACAGGAAGATGGATGCCAACTACATCAGATTTTAGTGTTCAGAACATGGAGGACATGGTATCCAGCTAGAGGTGGAAATGGAAAGAAAATTGCAAAGCCAAGCTCAACTTGAAGGTAAAGGATCCTGGCTAGGACATACACCACCCATAGGAAAGCAAAAGTTGAGGGATTTGGGGACTTGTGGGGCTAAGAGAAAGGGGCTCCCTAGATGAGTATCCAGCTAGTGGCATTAGTTAGGACATAATGAGTCTTGCTAGCAATTAAGAGCGTGGTCTTTCTAATACAAGTAACAGGAGTCACTGGGGAGATTTTACTGAGAGGAGGCATGACAAAATGTTTTCTTTAGAACAAAAATTCCAACTATAGTGTGGAGAACGGGTAGAAAGAGACAAGAGGCAGTAACCCCACATGGGAATTTATTACAGTGAAGTTGGTGAGAGGTGTTGATGACTCACAAAGAACTGGTACTGCTAGACACAGAGGAAAGCAGGTGGATTCCAGCTGTATTTTGGAGATTTAATATACACGGCCCCATGTATGTTTATTGAATGCAAGAGTTAAGAAAGAGGTAAGATTTTTCAGATTTAAACAAATGGGTGATGTGCGTATATTTAAGGTAAGAGTAAAGGGGCATTTTTTAAAAAAAAAAAAAGAATATAAATGGTTTTGATACATTCTATCCAAACAATGAAGTAATAACACTGACATTGAGGGAAGAAAACTTCTTTCGAAGGTAGCAATGGGAAATGCTATAAATGCCCCCTAGGAGTCTAGTACAAAAGAGATAGAAGATGCAGAAAAAGGAGGTGAAATTATCAAGTAGCTCAAAGATAGAGGAGGGTGAGATTTCCATCAATTGTTTCTGGTGCCAAGAAGCAGAGGGAGAAAAGCAGTAATGACAGGGGCTGAGAAAAACATCATCCCTACCATGGAGTGCTTGCCTTGGGAGTGGTTGTACTGACTGAGCTTCTGCTTTGCAAACTTACACTAGTTTATAGAATTAACTTCTTTTTTTATTTTATAATTTAATTTAATTTTACATATCAGCCACGGATTCCCCTGTCCTCCTTCCTCCTGCCCACCCCCCTCCCCAGCCCACCCTCCGTTCCCATCTCCTGTAGGACAAGGACTCCCTTGGGGATTCAGCTCAGCCTGGTAGATTCAGTCTAGCCAGGTCCAGTCCCCTCCTCCCTTCACCCAGGCTGAGCAAAGTGTCCCAGCATAGGTCCCAGGTTCCAAACAGCCACCTCATGCACTAAGGACAGGTCCTAGTCCCACTGCCTGGGGGCCTCCCAAACAGTTCAAGTTAATCAGCTGTCTCACTTATCCAGATGGCCTGATTCAGTTGGGGGCTTCTCAGCTATTGGCTCATAGATCATGTATTTCCACTAGTTTGGCTATTTTTCCCTGTGCTTTTTCCAATCATGGTCTCAACAATTCTCACTCATACAATCTTTCCTCTTTCTCGCTGATTGGACTCCCAGAGCTCTGCCTGGGGCCTGGCAGTGGATCTCTGCATCTGCTTCCATCAGTCATTGGATGAGAGTTTTAGCACGACAGTTAGGGTGTTTGGCCATCTGATCACCAGAGTAGGTCAGTTCGGGCTTTCTCTTGACCATTACCAGTAGTCTATTGTGGAGGAATCTTTGTGGATTTCTGGGGACCTCTCTAGCACTTTGCTTTTTCCTATACCCATGGGGTCTTCATTTATCATGGTCATCCAGTTATTCTGAACCTGATAGAAGAGAAAGTAGGAAGTAGTCTTGAACTCATTGGCACAGGAGATCACTTCCTAAATATAACACCAGTAGCACAGACACTGAAACAATCAATCAACGGGACCTCTTGAAACTGAGAAGCTTTTGTAGAGCAAAGGACACAGTCAACAAGACAAAGCAACAGCCTACAGAACGGGAAAAGATCTTCACCAACCCCACATCTGACAGAAGGCTGATATCTAGAATATATAAAAGAACTCAAGAAATTAGACATCAAAATGCCCAACAGTCCAATTAAGAAATGGGCTATAGAGCTAAACAGAGAATTCTCAACAGAGGAAGCTCAAATAGATGAAAGACATTTAAGGAATTGCTCAACATCCCTAATCATCAGGGAAATGCAAATCAAAACAGCTCTGAGATACCATCTTACACCTGTCAGAATGGCTAAGATAAAAAACACTGAAGACAGCTTATGTTGGAGAGAATGTGGAGCAAGGGGAACTCTCCTCCACTGCTGGTGGGAATGCAAGCTTGTACAGCCACTTTGGAAATCAATATGATGCTTTCTTAGAAAACTGGGAAAAAACCTCCCCCAAGACCCAGCTATACCACTCTTGGGCATATTCCCAAGGAATGCTCAACCATACCACAAGGGCACATGCTCAGCTATGTTCCTACCAGCATTATTTGTAATATCTAGAACCTGGAAACAACCCAGATGCCCATCAACGGAAGAATGGGTGAAAAAAATGTGGTACATATAAACAATGGAGTACTACTCAGCAGAGAAAAACAATGAAAGCATGAAATTTGCAGGCAAATGGATGGATCTAGAAAAAAATCATCCTGAGTGAGGTAACCCAGACTCAGAAAGACAAACATTGTATGTACTCATTCATAGGAGAATACTAGATGTAAAACAAAGGATGACTAGACTTACTCACAACTCCAGGGAGGCTACGTAGAAAAGAGGACACTAAGAAAGACTCAGGGATCGCCCAATGACAGTGAAATGGATAAGATCTACATGAGCAAACTGGATGTGAGGGGGGGGGGTTAATGAAGGGCAAGGGTCGAGGGAAAGAGAGCTTAGGGGAACGGGAGATCCCAGCTGGATCAAGAACAGAGAGGTAGAAGTGACTTCTTAAAGGTCCCCTTTTCCAGATGAGAAAACTGAGCTTCTGAGAGGCTCAGCCAATCACTAAGATCACACAGCTAGGGTGTGACAGATTTGAAGATGGCCTTAGATGACTCAAAATCCTGTCTAATAGCAACCAGTCACAAAACATTAGGAAGAGTTGGATATAGGGGATAAAAGAAGACCACATTCATCTATGAAGATTTGATCCTGTGAATTGCTTCATTCTGGTCCCTTGATGACTGTTTTAGGAGTTAGTTCTACCAATGAGAAGTTGTGTAGAAATTAGAAGTCTGTGTTTCAGTAACATATGCCTGGTAATGGCTGCAGCCCTCTGGCTGACTTCTCCCACAAGGTTTCAGTCTTTATTGAACTCTAGGAGAAACAATAACTCCTTCTAGCTGTTTCTGGCATTTTGGAAACTCACCATCCCCTGTTAATTTTCTTAAATGAACCAATACAGATCTAAGTAGGGGCTTATTAATGTCTCCTTATTTAAATCATTGAAGAATGAATTGTGTATCCTGAAGGACAAGGATAGTAGCCACGGGACAGTTGTGACGACATACAGGAATTAACTGGCAGCAAGTCTCATATACTTTATCACTGTAATTAATGGTGGTGAGTGTTTTAGTACTCACTCACATTTGGTGGTATTTTACAATTTGTGAAGTGCTTTCTATCAAGTTATATCACTTAGTGAAAATAATAATAATCAGTATCTGGCCCCATTATTTACATTTTAGATAAGCAGACTGAGCCTCAGTGAAGTTAATGTGCCAAAGGCCTCCAAGGTGACAGGGATGAGCTCCAAACTCAGACCTCCTGAAGCCAACACCAATATTCTTCCCACTCCTTTCCTTATTCCCATTAGTTAGAGAGGTAACAGGGAGCTTTCCATGCTAGGCTTCCCCAGTGGGCAGAAAGAATGTCTGAATCTTGTCAGAAATCCCCTAGGAGTGTACTCTTCCTCCCTCCATTGCTAGATCCACATGCAACAAAAATTCCTGGGACCTGCTTCTCTCTATAGACTGAAGAAAACTAGTAAAGCCTTCTAACTTCACCAACAGTATTGGTGTAGAACAGAACCTCACAAAAGATCTCCAAAGGCTGAAGATAACTGGACCAAGTAAAATTCAACAACAAAAATGACACAACCCAAATCCCCAACAATCTCACAACACTAAGAGATCATATTTATGATTTTATGGCACTTATTCTTTGGGACTGAAGATCTTCTCCAACATATTAGGCATTTCCTGTTGGACTTTGCTTGTTTCTCATGACTGACAGTCATGCAGTTTCAATAGAGCCTTCAAAGGACCCACCCTGTGCCAGGTATTTCACATGCATCTTCTCAGCAACATCTGTGCAACATAGACGAGTAAGATGTCTTTGTTCATGGCCATGGTACTGTTGTGTTCTGGGCCCTGTGGGATGTCAGGTTCCTGATTCTACTGCTTCGGATTAGGAATTGGTTCCTTCAATTATTCATCTTTCTTTCACTTTCTTTACCTCTGCTTTTTGGAAACAGAAAGAGGATTCCTGCTCCCTGAGTAAGTGTGTGGGTGTGTGGGAGGGATTTCATCGAAGCTGTTTATAAGACAATAGGCTTGTAAACATTTCTCGATAATAGCCTCTGAGAAACCACACTCTGGTCCAGTACTGCAGGCTGAGCAGAACATCTCAAAGAGTGACTCTGACCATGGCCATCAGTATATCTTGGTCTCTTAAAAAAAAAAGTATTGTTTATTGCCTAAATGATGAGAATAGCATGCCTGCTCAGGATATATATCCTCCTTGTTAGCTATTGCGATCAACTAGTCTCCAGTATTCCTATGTTGTAGTAATTACCGAAACAGCAATGGCAATGGAGATGAATAGGTGGTGCCCAGTGAAAACACTTCCACATGTCTGCTAGAGATAAGGGCTTCATAACTACCAAAACTTATTATCTTGCCTTGTAACCTTCTTCATACCCACAATTTGCTTAAATGCTGTGAAGATACCATAGCTCCCCACATCCCCAGGTCTTCACTTCACAATGTCTGTATCTGTCTTCATGGAAAGTTCAAAGATCCTTTCTTTTCTAGAAGCTTCCTTGGAACTCCCCCTTCAAATCTGTGACTAGAAACAACCATTCTCTTTTCCGTACTTGTTAGAAATGGCTTCTTACTGTGAACATAAGGATTATCACAAAGTGTGTGACATGTGCACTTCTAAACCCTGCTTAACAGTCTTCAAGGGCAGCAACTGTTTTGAAGTGGGCACTTGGTAAAATTAATGCCTGCATACAGGATTGAATTTTTGTTCTCTGAGTGGAGGAATTCTACAGTTTGGTCACTCTCTGATCCTTGCAAGTATTCTAAACTGTAGCTACACAATGGCAATTTATATCTCGGCTCTCAGATAGGACGAAGCTTTGGCTGGTTGCCTAACAATAGGGTGGACATAAATTAGCAGGAGAGCAATTTACAGTCTGTCATGTCTTATTGCTTAATGAATTTGTCAAAAATCATATTACTTTGAAAATTATGGCAGGCAGAGTCCATGGGACTTATGTCTTTAAGAGGGAGATTGTTTTACTTCACTTAACCTAAACTGTCTAGACCCTTTCCTTTTTCTGATGCAGACAGCAAAATCTCTGAGCTTGTCTGTTATTTATCAAATCTCTATGGAGCTTCCTTTGCATTAGGACTACCAGAGATGACTTTGGCCAGTTTGCAAATCCCCAACTCCAGTCTCTACCTGCTGTCAGAGCCAAATAGGATTTAGGAGTCCATCTTAAAGTACAGATTCAATGCTAATATGACATCATGAGTTTCTGGCTTATGCTCACCCTAGATCTTTACTCACCTTTCAAATAAAGCTGAAGCCTTGTTCTTGCCAAGCACAAGTGCTTTAGTTTTGCGTCGATTTCTTCCCAATCTTTCTGTCTTCTGTTTTCTTCTCTCTTCATTTGTTTACTGCTCAAACCCTTCCAAGTCTTTGTTTCCTTCTGCTCCTAAGGCTGAACTGTTAAGAGATGCTATTTTACAAGGTAAAAAGTCAGACTAGTTTCCTCCTAGGGTATTCCTTCTTTCACATGCAGAATGGAATTAATAAGTGTTAAACCATATAACAAGTGTGAGAAGTAGCATGCCTGGTTTTCATTTATGCATGCATTCATCCATCCATCCATCTGTTCATCCATCCATCCATCCATCCATCCATCCATCCATCCATCCATCCATCCATCCATCCATCCATCCACCCATATGTACATCCGAAACTCACCCAGTCATTTGTAAACATCATCAGAGTAGTTCTCATGGACCAGGTCCAGTGCTTGGCATTTGGGATCCATTGCTGAACTCGAGTTTCCACTGTTAAAGACTGTAGACTTTGTTAGGATGGGCAAAATAAAAGACAACTAAAAATAAAAATATAAGCAAGGTAACTGAGAGAGACATTGTCTGAGTAGGAAACAATTTTACAACCATCTTCACACTACCTAGGAATTTGTGGCTGGCCACTAGGGCTCTGTTCTTGGGTAGACAGCAGACAGCTGCTTTTGGATTTGCAGGAAGCCTGGTGATGGGGCTGCTGGTGGGAGTAACAGACCAATGGTGGCAGGACATTCACAGCTCTGGCGGCTGTAATCTCTGGTAGTATCTTCTCTTGCAGCTTCTTTCTTTATGTCCCCTTGGGGTTTTCTGTTTGCTCGTTTGTTTTTACTTCAAATCTCCATTTTGTACTTTGTTTCTCTTACTGTTCTTTAGGGGGACTTGTAACTATGGATTAGCTGGTAGCTACTTAAAACACAGTAGGTTTGTTTGTTTGTTTGTTTGTTTTCAATTGACTGGAGATCAAACCCAGGGTTGACATATGTGAGATAAGTACACTACCACTGAGCTATTATCCTAAACCTCAGTTGGATATTTTTTAACCCCATGATTTACTTAAAAGAAAATTTCCCAGTAGCTTCCTGAACATATGGAAGAGCTGTGGCTAGTTTGCAAACTGATGGGGGCTATCCCAGTGAGATGGCACATGTCACAAGGCAGTCCCCTGGCTCATTTCTGATCTGTCTGGTTGGCCAAATGGAAACAGGCCAGCCACCTCACAGTTAACTGTGATTCTGCCACATGCCCCCCACCCCCAACCATTTCATTTCAATCTCTTTGTTCCAAGCAACTGAAGAGCTAATGGCTGGCGAATTTATGATGACCTGTTGTTTGGCTTGTGGAATAAACCGATTCTTTTCCATTCTGTGTTCTGACTCTCCCCTTTGTCTGTGATTTTATTTTATAATTCTTTTTGTACACATCCAACACATGCTGGGGTTATTGAAAAGCACAAATTACACAGAGATCAATTTGCATATCTATGGAGCATCCATTCCCAGAGTTCTCGGTAGGCAAAGTGCCCATTGACTCTTACCTTCTTTCCTTTGCTACTCTTTGGCAAGGAAACCAGCAGGCTGCCCTTTGCTTCTCCTGGCAGACCTAGCAAATGGTCTTCAGGAGTGGTTTCAACAATTTTGCAGCAGATGACTGCAGACTGTGCTTCCCAAAGTTCCAGTAAAGTCAGGAGCCTGGAAGGGCAAGGTCAGGGAAGAAAGGCCAAACAGCAGCTTCCTGGAGCCAATTTAACACTAATGCTGCTGAGAAGGTACAACTAGAGCCGACAGCATTAAGTGTGAATCCCTGTTACCAAGTATTTGTTTTTTTTTACTTTTCATTACACTTTTGGAGATTGCTATAGGTTCACATTCAGTTTTAAGACAATATAGAGACACAGGTATGGTGACACATATCCATAATTCTGTTACCTTGACGGCAGGGAGCTATGACATGAGGATTGGTATTTTCAAGGTCAGCCTGGGCTACATAGTGACTTCAAGGCCAACTTTAACTCTGCAGCAAACGATGTAACAATACAGAAATCTGTGGACAGTCCATCCATTCATTTGTTCTCAGTTGTTTTCATATCTTTTTTTTTTTTTTTTTTTTTTTTTTTTACTTCTGGCCACTTACTATAGTTAAATCACATTATCTTCATAGGGATAATGAGATTATTCTTATGTTACATCACCTTGATTGTTGTGAAGAACATCTGAAAGGACATCCATGAGACAATCTAGACAGTACCTTTTCAGCCTGCTCTCCACAAAGAGACATTTCCTCCCAAACAGTTGGATGATGATGTTCAACCAATGTCCATTAATGGGGGACTATGATCTGGTGAGTTTCAGATTATGGTCATAGTTTGGGTCTAAATCATGCTAAAAGAGATTATTTTTGAGGTGTGATATAAAAGTGATGTGTTTAGTAAAAGATGAAGGAAGACTATGAAACGTACTGAAACAAACTCTGATGTCAAAATTTAAAGATACTGTTAATATCCTGACATACCCCTCACAGTTACCCCTTCAAATGACAAAAGCATTATCATGAACATTCTTTTTATAGTCTTATTTTTTTCTAGAAACAAGGTATCCTGTAGCTGAGGTTGCTCTTGAACTTGTTATATAGTCAAGAATGAATATAAGCTCCTAATTTTCCTACATCTACTTTCTGAATTCCTGTATCCTAGGCATACATCACTATCCTGATTTCACATGGCACTAGGGATAATATCCAGGGGATACTATCTTCACAGGGGATAGTGTCTGCATCTTAGGCAAAAACTCTACCAATTTAGAGACACCACCAGGCCACTTCTCATAGTCTTCTATAAACATTATTAAAATGCAGCACCCTTGTTTAGGAATTCTTATACTGATTATCACATTTTCATTTGTTTCCTGGTGCTCAGTGTCTTGCTGTTGTAACACCTCCCCCTTCATTTTCTATCTCTTCCCCAGCTCGTGTTCTACTCTTTGTCTTCCTTGATTTTCCACTTACAAAGAAAGGTGCATTTAATGTCTTCATAAACAGGTCTTTGCAGTTGTTTATGATCATTTCCTAAGGGACCATTCCCTAGAAGTGAAAATTTATGAACTAAATGATGTACATGTTTTATGGGTTTTGATACAACACAAGCCATATTATTAACAAGCACTTTAGATTAACAATACTTGGAGGTGCTTAGGAGAATCATTTTAAGGTGTTTTTAATCCCATACACATCCTTACACCATGGAGATTATTATTCAAAGGATATATAGTAAATGCTTAGAACCAGCATTCTAACTGTGTTAATATAAGATGCTGCCAACAGATTCTGGCTAGACATCTGGTTGAGCATCACTAGGATTATTGAGAGAACACAGAGGCAAAATTCTGATGAAAATTTTCAGTAGTGTAAAGATTGAAAGATTTAGTTGGGAGAGACACTCAGTTTCTCCAGAAACCCATGTACTGAAATTATGGAGAAATGAGCCAGAGGGTGTTCAGATCGACTGAGTACCCTCTTAGTGGCCATAGCTTCACAATTAGGCCAGGTTTCCCTTTTAAAGATGTGGTAACTGAAAAATCAAGGAATTTCATACCCATTGGCAGGATTAACAGAGCCAGAATTTAACATTTCTTCTTCTCCCAAGTCCATATTTTTATTGCTTTTGACTGTAGCTCTTTATTGATGAGTTCACCATGAATTAACATAGTGTTTTGAACTTGGATATTCAAGGCCAACTGCAGAAAACAGCAGCAAAATGAATTTTCACATACCCCTAAGAAAGATAGAAAAACAATGTTCTCTGGGGATGAAACTATAATCATCATCAATACTAGGGAAAGGATGTTAAAATGAATATTATTCTGGTTAAATCCCCTCTTTTTACATTATTCCTATTAATTTTTTTCATACAATATATTTTGGTTGTGCTCTTTCCCTCCCCCAAACTTCTTCCAGACTCCTCTCCCATCTCACTCCACTTCAAATTTCATATTCTTTCTCTCTCTTAAAAAAGCAAAGCAAAACCAAAACAAAGAAATAAAAACAAACAAATAAACAAAAACAGAACTGAGTCCTCTATCATTCATTTCATGGGTAAACTTGGAAATTTTACTCAAAATAAGTTGTAATTGAGCCAATGGTTAAACATGTGGGGATTGTAAGGGGCTGAAACAAAATTCCTAGTGTACAGCAAATGCCTCTTGGTGTCATGGTGGAGAATTTTTGTGGTCTGCCCGCCCCCTCCTCCAGGTACTCTTAAGAGTCTTTCGGAAGATGGTATTGTTCTTTATTGACATGTACTCAATGAATGTAGAATGGGGTGGATATGTGGTTAATTACTTACATTGTTAGAAAAGGAATGCCTTGTCCTCTGTTTATTCTAAGTCTGTTTTGGTGGGCAAGGCTTTATGGAATATTAGGTGAGAGTTTGTTCCCTTTCTTTGTGGGAAGGAGCAGAGCCTTTGTACTGTAGTTCATTTCTCCTCTACTTAGCAATATCAGTTGCCACCAGGACACAATTTCCCTAGCCAAACCTGCTGTAACTGAGCCTAAATTGCTGGGTTCTTGATTTTGGTATTGTGTATTTGGCTCTTATATTAGTGTTTATTCTCCAACTTATCAATACAGGTATTAAAGTTGACTTTATCTTCAAATTATTTTTTATAGGAATTCTAGTGTTCCTTAGTACAGAAAGGTAATTGTAGTTTAAAATGTAATATATATTATAGATAACTAAATAAAGCCTATGAATTTTCCAGCCATGTGGTTCTGAACAAGTTTAAGGTACCAGACATGGATTCTGTCCTGTGGGATGGGCCACAAATACAGTCCGAGAGTAGTTGGTTACCTTGAAAACAACTGTACCACTATTGCATAAATGTGGCCATCTTTATGGGTGTGTTGATGTTGTAGTTCATAGGATTGACAGCTGGGTGAAACTGTTGGTTGGTATCTCTTCTTCTCTACAAGTCAGCTTTGCACTTTTCAGTATTGTAAATCACTTGATTTCTTTCTATATTGCAAAGGTATGTGGTGTCTTCAGCAATGAGGTCTCTTCATCTACTCTGGTGAGCAAGAGCCCAGGACCTCCCCAGGCAAGTCATACAGAGATATGAAGGTATTCCACGTCTGGGACTTGAGTTTTTGTCTGGAAATTCATAGGTTATAGGAGCACCAATATGGAGTCATGCAGAATATTTCTCTTGTAATATTTTTATTATAAATTTTAATTAATTAACTAATTAATATTTTATTGGTTTTTCAAGACTGGATTTCTCTGTGTAACAGTCTTGTCTGTTATGGAACTTGCTTTGTAGACTAGGCTAGCCTAAAACTCATAGGAATTCATCTGCTTCTGCCTCCCTAGTGCTGGGATTAAAGGCATGTGCCACCTCCAAGCTTAATTATGAATTTTATTTGGGTTAAAGGGTAGTATTTTTCACATACCTTTCATTTTTGTTAACTATGTCTCCCACTTCCTCATCTCCTCCATCTTTCACTCTCTCCCCTGCTTAAAGTTTTCTGCTTCCAGTATCCCTCCTTTCTGCTTTCATTTCATACATGTTCTACTAATCTACCTCTCTTAATGTCTACCTGCAGTATCTCTTTCTAGCTTCCTGATTTTTTTTACAGGTGTTCCAAGTTGAACACAAAAAAATAAAGTTTTGAAGGTAGAATCCCCACATGAGTGAAGTCATGTGGTGTTTGTCTTTCTGTGTCCAACTTATTCAGTATAGTTTTTTTCCAGCTTTATCCATTTTTCTGCATATTTTATAATTTCATTATTCTTTGCATACTAATAAAACTTCATTGTATATGTACCAAGGTTTTATTATCCATTTATAAGTTGATGGATATCTAGGCCGATTTTTATTTACTTGCTGTTGGAAATAGAACGGCAATGACATGAATGTACAGTATATTTGGGTATATGCCCAAGAGTGGTATAGCTGGATCATATGTTAATTCTGTTTCTAGTTTTGAGAAATCTTCAGACTAAATTCCACACTTATTATTGCTGCTTAGTTAAATTGGCAGACATCAAACTGCCTTCTAAACGTCTATGTTTATACTCATAGAAAAAATGTTATTCTCAGGCTGGGCAGTAGTGGCTCACACCTTCAGTCTCAGCACTTGGGAGGCAGAGACAGGCAGATCTCTGTGAGTCTGAGGTCAGCCTGGTCTACAGAGCTAGTTCCAGGACAGCTAGTTAGTTACATAGAGAAACCCTGTCTTGAAAAACAAACAAAAAATTTGTTACTCTCAGCTTTAATCACAAAAGTCTTTTTTGTTTGTTTGTTTGTTTTTGGTTTTTAGAGACAGGGTTTCTTTGTGTAGCTTTGGGCCTTTCCTGGAACTCACTCTGTAGCCCAGGCTGGCCTGGAACTCACAGAGATCCACTTGGCTCTGCCTGCCGAGTGCTGCTGGTATTATAGGTGTGTGCCACCACTGCTCAGCAGAAAAGACTTTTATTTTGCAGTGACCAGTGATGAACGAAGAGGCTCACAGCTGCTTAAGGTACAAAAAAAAAAAAAAAAAAAAAAAAAAAGGTTGAATGCTTAGTAATAAATTCTATATAAATACCATAAATTCTAAGCTCCAGAAATATTGTGGAAGAGAGGATGGGGGAGCTAAAGGATTAGGAGAAAGGCTGAGAATGCCACCTTCTAGGTATTATACAGCCATTGCAATTGTGAACTCATAGTAGATGTGGTTACTGACACTGGTCCTACAGAAGACTGGCTAAGACATTAGTCAGTTATGGAGGGAAGGGCTCATGGGGCTCTGCCATTTACTGACAAACTTATTTATGGTAAGCAATTTATGATAGGAGAGAGAGTTACATAGTATCCACTGTGCTCCTGATAGAGTCCACCAAATTCCAATGGATGATTCTAAACCCATGGCCATTCAGATGGCTTTGGTTTACGTCCTGAGGTGGGGGAGGGGCATGCCACTAAAGAAAACAGAAAGACATGAACACATGAAAGGGGTTCAGAAAGAAAAGGTGTAGTGGACACAGGTATGGGGGAGGTAAGAGTGTAAGGTGTGAGAATAATCTGAAAACAATGTGTGTGTGCACATGAAATTGTGGAATGAAAAATTCAATTAATAAAAGAGAACCATAGGAGAGGAATCTATATGCATTAAACACAAATACTAAACATTTAAGGAAATGGAAATAGTCCTCACCCTGACTTAACACCACACTTGTACACATGCACCAGATCATCACACTTTACCCCACAGAAAAGAACAGTTACTCTGTTTCAATTAAACACAAATGAATAAAAAATAAATCCTTATTTTATTATAGGGAAGGTAAAGACAATTAGGATAGATAAGCAGCATACCAGGCTGTTGAGGATGAAGCATTGGTAATTGTAGACTCAAGTAAACGTTGATGCCAGAGTCTAAGAACTTGGGCTTGGTAGGGAAGGACTTAAAGAGAATCTTGATGATGGAAAGCAGGGGGGCCTATGAACTGGAGGAACTATTAGTGAGAGAAAATGAAAACTGATCAAGTGATCATAAAGTGTAGTACTTGGGTGTTTTTGTTAAAGGAATAAAAGTCCCAGGTAAAAATTAAAGCTAGAGGCAATAAAAGAAAGGTTAACCTAGATGGGAAAATCACTCTCCAAGAACGATTCAAAGATCTGAGGTGTCAAAGGTTGGGATGAATCATTCAGGCAGTACTAGTGTATTTAGAATAACCAGAGTGTCTATTGAAAACAAGTAGATATGTTTAAAAAATGATTCTTGACCCTTAACTTCCACTGTTCTGTTTGTTATCTTACTTGTCCAGGACTCAAGAGGACAACAGAGATGCTATTTATCATGGGTCCCACAATTTCCCAGAGCACTTCTGAGTTAATTTGATAATATTAACTGAAGAGAGGCCCATATCACAAAGTGTTATAATTTTAGGCTGAAAAGACCTTGTGGTGTTGTTGCAAATATGAAATTCATACCCCTATGCTCCAAATAACACCGTAGATGGTGCAGACATATCAGGAAGGGGTAAAAAAAACCAGCCGTTTGATGGTGGAGGTAGTGTGAGGGCTTGATGTGTCTAGAAGCAAAGATCAGAGCAGGTTGTTACAAAGTACTTTTCAGGTATTCTAAAGAGCACCTGAGACAGTTCTGATGTGGAAGACATGGCTGGGATCTGAAGCATGAGAAACTGCTCACTGCCCAACTCAAGAATCGGTCATACTGAGAAGTTTTCAGCTTGCCGTGTCTTCACTGAATGAGGTTGAAGAAATGAGTATTCTCTGAAATATGGTTTCATCATCCTTAAAAACAAGAAAGTAACTTTTCCTTGCCTGGCATTATGAACTCACAATGGATAGAAGGCACACAGGCCAATGTCTCGTACAGAGAAACAGGTTTGCTACATTTATTTGTTACGAGCATAGGTTAGAAAGGGCTGCATATCAATAAGGTAGCATGCCCATAGCCAGTGAACATTTATTTTGCTTTTTATAAAGTCAATTGTGATTTGTCGGGCTCTAAAAAATAAAATAAAACACTCTTTAGATTCTAAGTGGATATAGTCATTATTTGTAGATCTGTTTTCAAGGTTTAACTTGTAGCTGCAAAACCACTTTAAGCTATGTTTTTTCAATTATTCATTTCTACTAAATTTTAATAAAAGGAATGTAAATACATGGGTGTGACCATATTACAGGTCCAGTGTCTTGTAATAATTAGGTTCTAAAATATTAAAGATGGTATTCATATTAAGCAGGCTTTTGAAAGGTTGCAAGAGGTTTCAACTTCTTCAATTCTTTATTGTACGTTTTCTATCAAAGTCTCATTTCCTGTCAGTAACCCATTTGAATCCTTCTGTGTATTTCGGGACACTGATGAGAGCTAGTTCACAACCATGGAATCACAAATGTTCCATAGGAAATAAGGAACAGTTCTTAACCTGCAACAAAAACCAGATGTGCAATGAGAACACCATCTTGTCATTCCATATGTGCCATGCTAGTCAGTGACAGTGGTGGGCTCTCCTGGCCATTCTTTTAGTGACCATTGTCATTTACACAGATGGCTGGCTTTTAAGTCTCTGTTTCCAGCTATGACTCTCCTTTACTCCATACCCATCTGCCTAGTTCTTGACAGGATTGTCCACTATGGTACCACAGGAAGCTGGATTAGCATGCTTTCCAATAATCTCCATTCTTTCTCATAATCTGTTCTATTTCCAGTATAAATGGCATGACTTATGCTAGTACTCTTGGAGTCATGCTTGTCAGTGCCATTTCAGGGGGTTCTGGACATGGCTTGAGGAGGGGAGAAAACCTGTTCACTAGCTCTAAGAGCTTTGCCAAGTGATTCAACCACTCTAGGTATCATTTACTGCATTTGTTATATGGGGTCATAGTAGTCTTGGGCTCACAGATTTAATGTGATAATTAAATATTTCTAAGTGTTCAGAACAGTGCCTGGTATATAGGAAAAACTATATACATGTTGGCTAAATTAATGAATTGAGTGTAGCATCCCAATAAAGCTATTAAAATCACACCTTCCTCTTGATCTCCATGGACACTCCCTTCATGCTGATCCAGTCTCCACAATAATGTAGACATTTCCATGTTCATGGTGACACTTTGCCCCGAGTCTTGTTCCTTCCTGTCTGTAGTCCCTATGGCAACCAGATGACATTTACTGAATTTAGGCTGGTCATACTAGTTCCTGGTCACAAACCTTCCATGTGTTGGCCAAGCTAATCTTGTTTTCCATGGTCTGACTCCTGTCTCCATCTCTAGCTGCTTTGCATCCTTCTCATCTTTCTGTGTTCTAAGAAATTCAAATTAATTTGGAGCCCTTAAGCCTGTTTCTATTTGCTCTCTCCCTGCTGATGAAATGCCATCCCCTGTCCATTTTCTTTCAGATCTGGTATAAACATTATGCATTCATGCTGTAGATTCTTTGATTCCTCTATCAGGAAGAATTGCCTACCTTGTGCTTGCCCAACATAGATGATTGCTGAGCAACATTATTCTTTGCCATATATGCTGTTGATGTGTCTGTCTGTTTCTCCACTTAAAGGTGAGCTCTGAAGATGTGTTCACATGTGTGAATGCACATATTTGAATTTTTATCTAAGATGTGGCTAAAACTAGCCAGGAATTCATCAGTCTTTCTTTCTTTTTTTCTTCTTTCTTTCTTTCTTTCTTTCTTTCTTTCTTTCTTTCTTTCTTTCTTTCTTTCTT